GGAGAAAAAGTGTTTGCAGAATAAAAAAGAAAAAGAAATAAACATCAGTGTAAAACCAATACATTCCTCGCTCCATTCAGAATATAACAATAAACACTGGAGGGAGTAACAGCCTGGTTGGTTTACTATGCTGGGGGAAACGATGATCGGCTACAAAAGCGCTAGACACACACAGTTAATCACCATTCACATTTAGTTAAATCTGAGATATACATACGTACGATGAAAATAATATTGTATTCTGCATGTGCATTAGCGCTGTGCGCATACGTCTTGGCTGTAGAACAACCAACTAAAAATACAAAAACAAACAAATCCCAATCAAAGAGAAGCGTTTCCGAATTGAATTACGGATACGCTGGCTCTGAAATCACAAGCGATAACTATGGACATGGAGACTTCAGTGCTGGACATGCTGACCTTGATGGAGAATCCGCATACGGTAGTCACCAACAATCGTCGTACTACCACGTACCAGTCAAGACCATAACCAAAAATGTGCCACAACCGTATCCCGTGGAAGTAGCCAAACCATACCCTTACCCAGTCAAAGTGGCCGTTCCCGTCGACAAACCGTACACCGTGGAAGTGCCCAAGCCGTACGCCGTGCACGTGGAAAAGCCGTACCCCGTCAAAGTTCCAGTGCCACATCCTTACCCAGTGGTCAAAGAAGTTCACGTACCCTACAAGGTGCCGGTAGATCGCCCATACCCAGTGCACGTTGACAAACCATACCCCGTGTACGTCGAAAAGCAAGTGCCGTACCCGGTCGAGAAAGCTGTGCACGTTCCATTCAAAGTACCGGTCGCCCGCCCATACCCAGTGCACGTGCCCGTTGAGAAGATCGTACCGTACCCGGTCGAGAAGCCGGTCCACTATCCGGTTAAGGTTCCCGTCGAACRCCCGTACCCCGTACCAGTGGTGAAGAGTATCCCGTATCCGGTCGAGAAACCAGTTCCGTATCCAGTGGTCAAGGAAATCCCATATCCAGTTAAAGTTCCGGTGAAATACGAAGTAAAAGTACCATACCCAGTCAANCGACTATCATCACGGAAGCAGTGGATATTAATTATACTCATTCTAGTCACACTACACTCGATTCTTAATTTTTTTCTTTAATCCTATCACTTTATCAATGTATGTTGTTAATTTTTATTATTATATTGAATGTTTATGGATGTATACTGTATAACTCTCAATTATTAGTCAAAATATGAATAAAATATGTTTCCCTTATATTATAGTTCTGTAGTTCATTAAATATCATTAATTTCTGTATCTATAAACTGATCCAAACTACTGAAACAAGATATACAATTTAGTGAGTATGTACTGCATTAGTTTTTTTAGTTTTTATATTGACAACGACGTATTTTTCATTGTTAGATGCCTATGATATGTGAAAAAAACTTAACAATATTATATTCAATTTACATTAGATTGGAGACTATTCTTCAAAAAAATTTTTTAACATCAAAGATTCATGTTGAATGCTTAACTGATATGACTATATGGTAGTTTAGTCATGTCAAAGCTATTTTAACTACCTAACTCGCATAGTTATTTCGTTTATACAAATAGTTAAAAGGTGAGCAAGTAGGTACCGCTTGGTTGTACTGTGTGTGTCATTATAATATATGTGTTAAATTTAAATTTGTTGATGTAAAATCATTRTATATGATAAACAATGCTGAGTTAATTTTAATATACTATTGCTATAATAAAAAACAAAAATTATCTTTAATTTACAAAATAAATAAAT